CATAAGTTGAATGTCCATTCAGATCAGGGCCATGAAAAACATAGGTCCTGAATAAAAGTTTTGTTTACTGGTGTGAGCATTTTTTTAGTACCAGGCTGTCTCTGGTGCTTCCTTAATTTGAACATTAGGAGTTAAAAAAACAAGTAGGTGATAAACATAGTAGGAAAGGGAGCTTTGGATTCATGCACCTATTTATTGCAAATCCAAATTCATGTCCACAATCCTTTAAAAATGGGCAGTGGTAACATCCTGGACTTCAGTATCTAAGCAGTATTAGCGATATGGCATCGGACACACATACTGGAGTTGTTTTAGAAATACTGGTTGCTAAATTGCTCAGCATGTTTTTATTGGACCAGTTGGAAAGAATAAAGACAAACGCTAAACAGTGCAAGCATGAAATTGATCTCCAGTGGTCATGGATCTAATTGGAAATTGAGTTGAGGTAGCAGTTTGAACTGTTTGGAGTTGTTGCCTTACTTTTTAATATGTATTTATAAAGTGTTCCAGCAAAAGAGGATGTAGCCTCTAAGAAACATACTATAGTGTTTTTGTGGTTCTTACTCATCACAGTACCCGCCCTATGGTCTTAGCTGGAAAGGATTCTGGATAATTTACTTCTGCATTCTCATCTGGATGCTCATTCCTAACTACTGTATTTGTTACCAAAAGTGGTTCTACAAATGCTACTGAAAAGAATTCTGGAAATCCTAATGTTCTGAGTATTAATAATAAAGTTTAAAATGCTTTTATATCAAAGGTGCATTGTGACCAAATTGTTTAAAACAAAAGAGAAAAAAAAAAACCAACAAAAAGAAGAGGGCTGTATTATAAATACACATTATTGACTATCTGCTTTGTATTTGAAAGTGGAATCTTACATCTTTGGTAGGTGAAATGCTGATAAGACTTATGTACAGTATATATTTAGCTAATGCAGTTGCATTATTATATACCGAAAGGTATGTGTTTCAGGATTTTTCTCCAGGATGCTTTTGAACTGTTATAGACATATGACAACAGTGAATTGATAATCCTAAACCATCAATCCAGCAGTATTTACAGTATAAAACTGAATTGGTGTTCATGAGTCTTTGTGATAGTTGCAAACATAAATTTATGACCTGTTGCCATTGATAGAAATACAGTATAAATACAAGCTTGTATATTTTTCTTCCTACCATTTAAATATACAGTAGGATTTGAAGTTTTCTTGTTTTCAGGCATGGAAAAGAGGTAAAAGTGGATTCCCTTCTAGACTACTGACTGTTTCAGGATTATCAGGTCACAGTTTGTACTCCTGGGTCTGCGCACACCAATGTTGTAAACACAACGATTTTGTAAAAACTTGACACTGTTAATTCTGGGAAAAAAAAAAAAAAGTGGATCTAGTCATATGCAACACCAAACATGACATGGTTTAATGGGATTAATATGAGCTTCTTTTAAGAACACTGACTGGGACGCAATGTAAATTAGGCAGTTACTGTCATAGTTGAAACATTTTATTTTAAAGTGCTGAAGCAAAGGTGCAAGCTGAAATACTAAAGATTAAATAAATTTATAACAAATCATGTCCCTTAGCCCATTGATTTTGACAGTCTTTTATTTCTGTTACCAAAAAAAATATTTGCTAGTGTGATTTCTTTGAGAAGTGATCATACTTTACAAGAGGGTGAACTTAACCTCATGCTCAAAGACTCTGTTCAATTGTGAAAAAACTGAGATAGAATGGAAGAAGAAAGATTAATGTTTTCCACCTGGTCGAGTAAAACACAACAATGTGAAATTAGAAAAAGCACCTTGTCCTGTACTTAGAGTTTAGGTGAGTGTTGTTTGTTCGTAACTATTTTTTGGTTTTGACATGACGTTCTGGTATTGATCATACAAAGCTGATGAGAACCTGATGGGTTGCAATATTTTGTTACCTCTGATGTTACCTCTGATGTGGGGATAGTGGGGAGCGTCTAAAGTTTATAGACGATTTATCACTTCCAAGAAGGAATGTTTCGTTAAAGCGAACGAGACGATGTGATATTAGTCACTTGACTCTAAAAGGTTGATACAACACTAGGTTGCACTGCGTGATGTCTGTGAAGAAGCACTTGCCACAATGATACCACCATAACCCCCACCCTCCCCGGGATCCACTCTTGGCCACAACCCACAGGCGATGTCCCGCCGCTCCGCAGAGCTCCCATCCCTGGCGGTTGGAGTCGTAGGCAAAGGCGGCGACAGCACCTCTGGGCCCAAGAGTGATCAGTGCGTCTATTTACCCTTTTCCTTTGCTTCTTGAGTTCCAGGAACTACCTTTCTTTGTGTAAATGTCGTCATTAACTGCTGGCGCAGCAGTCGTTGGGTGGTCGCTGGTGTCCTGTACCATATTGGTTTCAGGAGAAAGGATTGAATGCTCTCTGGTAAAAGGTACTAGGGCATTGCATCAGGTCATGGGGTTGTAACAAGTGTAAAAGTGAAGTTCCTCTCGTATACTTCAAATTGCTTTCGTCATCTTGCAAGTCTCCCTTCTTGTTTTCCTTCCGCTGCTTTTGAGCTTTTTTTTGGGCCTCTTTTCCAAAGGTTAGAATGCTTTAAATGGAAGTACCCTAATGCCATTGGAGCATTCACTAGCGGGGTTAGAGTAAATTTAAATCTTGGTTTTATTAGCGTAAACAGAAGGATTTAATTTATTATTTTTTTTTATCTCCTCCTCTATATGGAAAAATGGAGGGTGTTGGAGCCAAGAATTGCTCGATTCAGAAGCGTAGCAGCTGTACTTACACTCTACACGCCTAAGTACAGCCTTAGGCTCTCTCACTATGGAAAGGAAAAAATATTAGGAGCTTTAAAAACCTCTTTATTGTTTGGTGAGGAGGGGAAAACACTAGATTCTTCCCTCCTCAGATAAAAATGAAATAGTTGGCTTTTAGTTCTGTCTTGGAAAACAAACATGGCCATTTCTCTGAGTGGTGTGACAGTATCATCCCGAAGCAGATGCCCTAGAACGAGACGAAGGTGACAATGGGCAAGATTGAAGAATGTTCTTATTTACATGTGGCTTCTTTTATTTTGGCTCACCTGCTTCCCTCAGCAGCTCTGGAGTGAGCCACCGGTTAGTTTTTCCAGTTGATGATGTGCAGCAGGTTTTGTATAGCCCAGTTTTTCATTTTGAAGTCTACATTAAACATTATGTTGAAACAGGATGGAACCCATTTTGATGAAGAACTTTTCTCCGAGTGTTGCTTCCCATCCACAGAAGCACACGCTTTTTATCATGACCTCTCTGAATACGAGTTTTTGTTATTTGGGTCACTTACTGTAAATATGTTGTATTCATAACCTCATGTAACGATGAGGAGTTTTCAAATATAAATAGTACTGATACATTTCTTGTTGTTGTCCTATTTTTGATTGTAGTGTAGCGAATGACCTGTCATGCTTTTTGTTTCAAGGTTAGCATTAGATTCATATATCTTAATATTTTAGCATTTCATTGTTTAAGCAGGAGAGGGCAGCAAAAGTTCATTTTTCCCCATAGGAATGCTCTGGTCCATTACTGTTTTTAACTTCGATGCATTTAACTATCTTGTGCGTGGGGGGGTGGGGGGTGGGAAATGAAGCATTTTTTATATATATTAAAAGGTGCATATGAAAATATATAGACTGGTCCAACCAGACTGTGAAAAAATGTCTTCTACTCTACATCGAAGTAATAATAAAAGGAAAATACCTTCCACCTCTGGGTAAAGTACAAGCAGGTCTTAAGCTCTTGGATTCAAATGTCATTCTTTGGAAATAGTTTACTTTCTTAAAAATGGTATCAAAGAAACTCGAACTCAATGGTGCTCCCAGCTCTAAATGTGTAATCCTCCTCTTTTGCACGTGCTCAAGAGGCTCTGTACTGTGGGTGCATCTAAATAAAGAAGCAATGAAGTGTTTTCCAGGTGCTTGGCTTTTCTTTCCAACTCCTTCACTCCCAACTTCACGTACCTTCTCGACAGGGAACTCCCAACCCTCAGACACCCACTCGCACGGGTTAAACATAAGGCTACCTGTCTTAAGAAAAAAAACCACCCAAACAATGAGGTGGTAATGTAAGTTGCTACCGGAATTACCGTAGTAAATGCTGAGTTTTCATGAAGTTTATTTTATTAAAGGTCCTCTCGTGATGGTGAACATCCTGGTACCGCACGCAACCGCGCCTGTGAGGGAGGTCAAGAGCAGCAGGTACAGAAAAGAGGTGTTAGATCCACGTGATGTTCTCTCTCAACTCTTTGAGCCTTCCATTTTGCAACTGGTGAAGGAACTTGTTGTGTTTTTTGTTTTTATAGCATCATTCTACTGTTTCAGTCCTCGTGCTGCTCTGCCCCGTGGAAGTGAGGCCAAAGGCTTAAGATGGTTATGAATGTTGGGATCACCCTCTGGAGAGAGCCACGGATAGAGCTTGGTAAGGGGTAGAACAGCTTTAGCAAATGCTGTAGATACTGATGCTGCAATAAAACTGGAGAAGAGACATAGTAAACATAGATCTTAAAATGACAGTTTCCTATGCGAATTATCCCAGTAACCTAATTCTTAAAAACTGTTTCCATTTTGATTTTTTTCCAAGTGAAATTTTCAGCAGCCGGATCTTGCGTGCCTTTGCTAGAAGAGCTCATTATCCCAAATCTCTAAATACCTGTAAGACAATGTACGGACAACTTAAAACCTCATTCCTGTTTACTCTCTTATTGCAAGGGAAGTATTTCCCGAAGAAGATTAAAAGAAATAAATGAGAACACGCAGTAAGTTGGCCTTCAGGGTAGAATTTGTCTTCAGAACTTGCAAGTTACAAAACAACCTTTAAAGGATTGGAATTAAAGAAGTTAAATCAGTTTTCTACTTTTTGTAATGATAATTGCTTTGCTAATTTTTCATCCTTTGTCTTTCCTTCTCAGGAATGTTGTGGTTTCTTGCGTAATAGCAGGGCACCTAGTTTATCTTGCGTCAAGCGTGGTCCCCAGGCCACGAGTTGGTGGCCATCACAAGCAGGTAAAGGCTGTTCCCAACTCTGTCTCCAGTTACCACTTTAATACACAGTAAAGCAATCGCTTGGGTATTAAACTGGAAACTGATATGAGGTCTTGCATTTTGAATTCTGTTCATCACTGGAACAGGTTGCCCAGAGAAGCTGTGGCTGCCCCATCCCTGGAGGTGCCCAAGACCAGGCTGGATGGGGCTTTGGTCAAGCTGATCTGGTGGGAGGTGTCCCTGCCCAGGGCAGGGTGGTTGGAACTGGATGATCTTTAAAGTCCCTTCCAGCTCTGACCATTCTGTGATTCTATGAATTAAGAGCTATCTATAGTTTTAAAGATTAAATGCTGAAGCCAAAGGGAGTATCCTGAATTTGTTAGTAAATACCTCAAAAGGAGTTGTGCTGACCCACTGCGAGCAGTGACTGCAGGCTTTTCTGGAAGGCTGCATCGCATGAAAAACGTTAGGCTGAAACTTTATCTTTGACTATTTTTCTGGTTGGTTGTTCTTCCCCCCTCCCCCTGTTCATTTTGTCTATGGAGTGTACTCTCCCTGCCCCCAAAGTCACCGAAGGTGTGAGAAGTTTCGGGGTCACTCAGGAAGGATGGAAAACTTGTCTAAAGAAACACGTGTTTTGCATTGCTGGACGGAGACTCCTACCTTTGATACCCACTTGAAAATGTCTGGGAACTTGTATTATCCCTCGGTCTGGGAAGCTCTTCCGAAAAAGAGGAGGAGAAAGGGAATACAGTTATTCCATATCACTTCCGAATCTTGTTTTCAAATTTCTTAATATTTCACAAGCTGGGACAAGGGTTTGGGTGTGTAGAAAGCCTCCCGACTTCGCCGACAGAGGAAGCAGCAAGCCAAGGGGCCGTGTTTATAGAGCCCGTGCCTGGTGGCACCTTGCACTGAGGAGATGTGTGTGCCCACCACCGGCCCAGGCAGAAGGAAGCTCTGGTGTAATAACCCCCACGGGGGCAAGGAAGGAAAGACATGGCCTTTGTACCAGGATGGCTGCAGACCTCCAGCCACAAAAGGCACGTTTGCCTGAGAACCTTGGGCAGGCTTGGGTCAGTTTGGAATTCTTCACGTTTTGGTGAAGGAGATAGGGTTTATCTGTGTAAGTAACCTGATGGGACAGCCCGGCTCAGTTTTAGGGACCTTTCAATATGAATTCTGCAAAATACACCGGGTAGGACTGCAGCTTCTGCTCGGCTGTAGTCCCTGTGACTATGCAGTGACTCCCATGGTTTTCTACAGATTACTTGGCCTATGCAGATAATGTAGGTAAGTAGAAAATCACTGTATACTTAACTATCTTAAATCAAGGTGGGCATCTGCATCATGTTGCAGTGCGCACTGGCAGCCCAGAAAACCAACCCCATCCTGGGCTGCATCAAGAGAAGTGTGGCCAGCAGGTCATGGGAGGTGATTCTGTCCCTCTACTCTGCACTGGTGAGACCCCACCTGGAGCACTGTGTCCAGCTCTGGAGTCCTCAGCACAGGAAGGACATGGACCTGTTGGAACGGGTCCAGCAAAGGGCCACGAAGATGCTCAGAGGGCTGGAGCACCTCTGCTGTGAGGACAGGCTGAGAGAGCTGGGGTTGTTCAGCCTGGAGAAGAGAAAGCTCTGGGGAGACCTTAGAGCAGCCTTCCAATATCTGAAGGGAGCTCCAGGAGAGCTGGGGAGGGACTCTTTGTCAGGGAGTGCAGTGACAGGACAAGGGGTACCGGTTTTAAATTGGAAGAAGGGAGATTTAGATGAGATACCAGGAAGGAATTCTTTGCTGTGAGGGTGGTGAGGCACTGGAAGAGGTTGCGCAGAGAAGCTGTGGCTGCCCCATCCCTGGAGGGGTTCAAGGCCAGGCTGGATGGGGCTTGGAGCAACCTGGTCTGGTGGGAGGTGTCCCTGCCCACGGCAGGGGGGTTGGAACTGGATGATCTTTAAGGTCCCTTCCAACTCTAACCATTCTGTGATTCTATGATCTCAAGCATCAGTTCTGGCCAGAAAAAAATTGCTCTCAGGGATACAAAGGAAAGAATATTTCCTGTGTCTGTGGTGCCCCACAATGCCCACCCCCCCCGCCTTCTCACAAACAGAAGCATGAAGGCTTGCCATGGACTGAATTTAAGCAAAATTTGTTGTTCTATTAAAAATTCTCCTAAGGGGGACAGGTTTGGTGATGATGGAGCAGTAGGTGTTTTAGCCTTATCCAAACAAATCCCTCACCTCGTGGTAAGGTAAAGAGTTGAGGGGGGGGGGGGAGGTTTAGAGGTCTTGTGGAGCCTTGATCTCACCAGACCTCGCAGCGTAACTCTGCTTTAGCAGAAACTGTGTGGAAACTGTTTTTTCAGGTGCAATTCTGTTTTCCATAATAACCTTCAATCTGCTAAATCCCCCTGGAATTTCCAACGTGAATTGCTAAAAGACCCCTCCCCTGCTTCAAATCCCATTACTGTCTCTTTGGTTATTTGGAGTTTGTTGAGTAAAGTGCTTTGAAAATGTTGGAATCTATAAATCTGCTCCGATGTTTAGAAATGTTTCTGCAATAAATGCAGCAGAATAGCTAAAGATACAGGAGATAAAGGCTTGGATTTCACACCCTAACGTAAGATCACCCAAGGAATAATATTTTTTTTTCCTTAATCTTTTTTTTCCTCCCACAACCTATTTCTGTTTTCTCTTGCTCTAGAGCTAATTCTGCTGATGGTAAATTGGAATATGTGCAACACAGATGCCAAAAGAGAGAAAAAAGGAGATGCTTTCAAGAGCTCTGCTTCCAGAGAAGGTCCATGTAAGTTCCCTTTACACCACAACCTTTGGTGCTCCTCCCTCATGCTCTCCTCTATGCATGGAAATCAGCATCCCCCAAAACTCCTGTGCTGGGCACTGGTGGGGCCTCCCCTCGAGGGCTGTGGTCAGTTCTGGGCCCCTCACTACAGGCAAGACATTGAGATGCTGGAGTGTGTCGAGAGAAGAGCCACCAAGCTGGTGAGGGGTCTGGAGAACAAGTCATACAAGGAGAGGCTGAGGGAACTGGGCATGTTCAGTTTGGAGAAGAGGAGGCTGAAGGGAGACTTCATTGCCCTCTACAACTCCCTGACAGGAGGGTGTAGAGAGGTGGGGGTTGGCCTCTTCTCCCAAGGGAATAATGACCAGAGCAGAGGAAATGGTCTGAAGTTGGGGCAGGGGAGGTTTAGATTAGATATTGGGAAGAATGACTTTCCTGAGAGGGTGGTCAGGCACTGGAACAGCCTGCCCAGGGAGGGGGTGGAGTCCCCATCCCTGAAGGTATTCAAGAAACGTGTAGATGTGGCCCTTCAGGGCATGCTCTAGTGCCTGGGATTGTTGGGTTGGGGTTTTTTGTGTGTGGTTGGACTCGATGATCTCAGAGGCCCATTCCAACCATGAAGATTCTGTGATTAATTCAGTACCTATGAAAATTAACTACATTAATTAGACTGTTAAGACACGCCCCCACCCCCCCTTCCCTTTTAATCAGGCGTAATTTGTATCCCTGCTGAATCCACTGTCATTAAACTGCTTTCTCTTTTCCTATTCTGAATTGCCAAACCAGTTTCAAATCTTTGGCAGTGAAATGTAGGCAGTATGTAACTTAATGGAACACCATCCAACCCGTTAGTGGGATTTGAAATCTAATAATTAAATGTAAATGCTTGGATTCATTGTCTAGGAAAACAGAACCTTTAAAATAAGCCATTTAATGTCATACTGGTATTTTCTTTTGATTGGACTTCAATTAGTCACTGGTGCAGAATGGCCTGTTATAGGTGTATCGTTATTGCAGCAGGGAGTGTGAGCCTGAAATCCAGATCTCCATCCAGACAACTCGATTTCCAACGCTTAAGTTGTCATTTCCTCATCAGCTTGGTTTCGTGGGACGGCTGTTTGAGTAGCCTGCCTTCCTTATGGAAGGCTGGCTGCAAGGCAGATCTTGGAAAAGAGTTATCCCTCAGTATACAGTACCCAGAATGTGCAAAATACGGGTAAGGCTGAGGAGCAGTGATTTCGAGCTTGCTATTGGAGGAAATACTAGCAGCCAATTAAGTTAAAACCCTAATTAATACTGGCTTCTCCCCTTCTGTGCTGCCTGATTTGGCAGGGGTTGAAGACACCGAAACACAGCTTTGAAATGTATTTTCCTTTAACTGTAGCCTGGAATTGTTTTCCTTGTGTTTGCATTCTGTCATCCCCATCCATTATCCTTATCGGCTCCAAATCAATCAGATGCTTAGAGGGGAGGATGTGTAGAAAAAAGGTGTGTGTTAGTCCAGGGCAGAATTTGGCCCTGTGCAGGAGAGGATTTTGGTTTTATTGCTGTGACATGGAGAATCCTTCTGATTCCAGAGTTGCCCTTGGGTCGGGCAGGGCAAAATCTTTGCTGTTCAGCCCAAAGTCACTGCCTACTTCTGTGTATTAGAAGGAGGTTTGGGACACCTTTGCCTCAAACACAAACCCTGCATGGACACGGTCCCGACATGCAACCAACCAACCGAAATGGGGGAAAAAGAACAAATTATCCAATATAAAAAAAAAAAAAAGAAGAAGAAAAAAAAAGATAAAAAAAGAGATGTGCTTTCTCAGCCAAAAAAGACTGTGAAACTGTGGTGTACAGAAGCTCTCATTGTCACTGAGGCACATTGCTAGGTCCACCACCATTCTCCACGCTGTGCAGAGAATATCACCCAAAGCAGGAAAATTGATAACTGTGGCCCTTGGATTGTTGTTGGACTGTGGCCCTCAGGATGGTACCAGTACCTATACCTTCCCAGCACCCTGGGACCAGCATTTGTGGGGTGGGTTTTCTAAAAGGAGTGTAGTCCAACACAGTTTTCCCCTTTCAGTGTCAGTGGAGGTTTGACCATAGATAAACTCTTGAAAATTTAGCCCAGGATGTTTGGTGTGTTGCTGTTGGGTGACGCTAAAGGGCCCCGGGTTCAGAAATTCAGTTCCGTACAGCTGGAGCCTGCAAGTCCTTCATACAGTCATCACTGATACTAATTAAAAAGGCAAACCCTGAGTTTAATTTTCTAGCCTTATAGGGTCTATACCTGTAGCACCTGATACCTGTAGGTATCTAACCCTAGTAGTGTCAAACCCAATATTCTGTTATCTTTCCAGCTTAATCTGTGAGTTATTTGTAATATGTTTTCCTTATAAAGCAACATCTTCATGCATCAAAGGGGTTCAGAGTCTTTTAGTATTTCAAGCGGAGTAGGAATCCCTGGGGTACAGTTTGGCACACTGCTGTGAAAACATACCTTTTAGTTGTTTCACTGCTGGGTTTCAACTTAAATGGCTGATTGAGGATTTAAACAGCTGGATTTCAGTGTCTGTTTGCCACATGCCAGCTGCCGGCAGAACTAGAAATTATAATACCCAGTCATGACTTACATATTTGACCTTTGACCCATGCGATCAGGCCCAGCCAGCACGGGTTCATGAGGGGCAGGTCCTGCTTGACAAAGCTGATCTCCTTCTATGACAAAGTGACCCGCTTGCTGGATGAAGGAAAGGCTGTGGATGTTGTTTATCTGAACTTCAGCAAGGCCTGTGATACAGTGTCCCACAGTGTCCTCCTGGAGAAACTGGCTGCCCATGGCTTGGATGGGAATACCCTCCGCTGGGTTAAAAACTGGCTGGAGGGCCGGGCCCAGAGAGTGGTGGTGAATGGAGTTAAATCCAGCTGGCGTCCAGTCACGAGTGGTGTCCCACAGGGCTCAGTACTGGGGCAAATTCTCTTTAACATCTTTATCAATGATCTGGACGAGGGGATGGAGTGCACCCTCAGTCAGTTCGCAGACGACACCAAGCTGGGTGGCAGTGTCGACCTCCTGGAGGGTAGAGAGGCTTTGCAGAGAGATCTCGACAGGATGGATGGGATGGGCTGAGACCAATGGGATGAGATTCAACAAGGCCTAGTGCCAGGTCCTGCCCTTGGGTCCTACCAACCCCCTGCAGAGTGGCTGGCGCTGCCTGGCAGAAAAGGCCCTGGGGGTGTTGGTGGCCTGTGGGCTGACCATGAGCCACCAGTGTGCCCAGGTGGCCAAGGAGGCCACCAGCATCCTGGCCTGTGTCAGGAACAGCGTGGGGAGTAGGACTCGGGAGGTGATGGTCCCCCTCTGCTCAGGCACTGGTGAGGCCCCACCTCGAGAATGAGGTTCCACAAGGCCTAGTGCCAGGTCCTGCCCTTGGGTCCTACCAACCCCCTGCAGAGTGGCTGGCGCTGCCTGGCAGAAAAGGCCCTGGGGGTGTTGGTGGCCTGTGGGCTGACCATGAGCCACCAGTGTGCCCAGGTGGCCAAGGAGGCCACCAGCATCCTGGCCTGTGTCAGGAACAGCGTGGGGAGTAGGACTCGGGAGGTGATGGTCCCCCTCTGCTCAGGCACTGGTGAGGCCCCACCTCGAGGGCGGTGTCCAGTTTTAGGCCCCCACCATAAAAAAGACATCGAGGTGCTGGAGCGAGTCCAGAGAAGGGCAACAAAGCTGGTGAGGGGTCTGGAGCACAAGTCTTATGAGGAGAGGCTGAGGGAGCTGGGGTTATTCAGCCTGGAGAAAAGGAGGCTGAGGGGAGACCTTATTGCTCTCTATAACTCCCTGAAAGGAGGTTGTAGGGGGGGGGGGGGCGGTCTCTTCTCTCAAGTCACAGGCAACAGGACGAGAGGAAATGGCCTCAAGTTACGCCAGGGGAGGTTCAGGCTGGATATTAGGAAAAAATTTTTCACTGAAAGGGTTATCAGACATTGGAATGGGCTGCCCAGGGAGGCGGTTGAGGCACCATCCCTGGAGGTGTTCAAAAGACAGTTTGATGTAGTGCTGGGAGGTATGGTTTAGTGATGGTGTTGCTTTTTGTTTGTTGTGCGGGCGTCTATTTTTGTCAGTTAGGTTGATGGTTGGACAAGATGATCTTTAAGGTCCCTTCCACCCTAGAAGATTCTGTGGTTCTGTGATTTAAGCACCAGAGGATATAGCAGACATCGTCAGAATCCAATACAGTATAAAACCCTGGGAAGTATGAAACTTGTCGTGTGAGACTGTTGGTCTTCACAAATTAATCTCTGGTTTGAAAGTGTCTTTAAATGACAAAAGCATTTTGCTTTTATTGGGATTTATCTGTCTAATCTAATTAAAGTAGAGATAGCTTACCAAGACTGCTGAATATAAAGCATGCTTGAAGAAAAGCAGAGGTGTGTGGCAATAGCACCATGAAATTAAATTTATAATACTCTTTCCATTAATCTGTATAGATTAATCCATATGCAGAAGAATACTGGCTCTGACCTGAACTTTCCGCTCAGGTATGAAATCATTCGTACTGTCGTGTCAGAAGTTGTAAATAAGTTATAAATTCTAATGGGTGATGTGTTCCCAATGGCAGAGCACTGTTCCTCTCCGGGGCAGAGCTGTGTTTCAGAGCCCCGTAGGTATCAACCTACTTCCACAGGTGGGGCATAGCCCGGGCAATGCTGGAGTTGGCATTTCACAGGTCATGGCATGGGTGACACCACGAACAATATGCTACTCAATAGTGTGCTTGCTGTTTGCATGGTTTACAAGGGTGGTTTTGAGATGGTTGGTGAGTAAGAGATGATATTCAGGACTGTTTTATGATTCCTGTAAAGAAGGGGTGCTCTATGTGCTCTCAGCGTGGCCTCCATGTTCTTCTTTTACAAAGAACATGCTTGGCTCTCTCTAGCTGTGTTATGGAGACCCCTGCACAAAGAACCTGGGCATGATTGCAATGAGACAGTTGCAGAGTGATGTGGCCGTGGAGGTGGTGCTTAGAGGTGAAAGGAGGACTCTTCGTCAACCTTGTCAACTCTTGTTCTTCTCATCTTCCTCCCCCGGTAATTCTTCAGTTGCTGACAAATCAGGGACCCAAGATAGACAACAGTAAACTGGCAACCCTATGGTCACCTAAGCTGTTTCTGTATGGTTATAGAGTTTGTTTCTCAAAGGGCTGCTTTATGACCTTGTGTCTCTGTGAGTCCTGCTGGTCCCATGACATGGGATGACGCTGCACCCACAAGGAATCTCTTAAAATCAGTGGGAACAGGGTGATGAGCTTAAATTGGAAATAGTCAAGGATTCAAAGTGTTGACTGGGATCTACATCTCCTTAGAGGGTAAAGAGAGTTCAGGCTGGAAGATTTGGTTCTGTCTGCTGCTGAAACTTCTTGCTGGGTCTATGTGGTGCTGAGGCTTGGTTTGGCCAAGTGCCTCTCTGGGGTTCTGGACTCTCGTCATATTTGTTTTAATGGCTGGGTTTTGATGAGCTCAGTAGTTCTAGGAATTTATTCTAACAGGATTCACAGGAAGGGATGGTAGCTTTGTTTCAGGACACTTCATTTCCAGCCTTGTCTAATTTATAAACTTCACTCATCACCGAGGCAATGCTGAAAATAGAGCATTAGCACTGGTGGTGATGCATGTTGAAATGAGGTGTCTTTTTTCCAGTGCATTGGACTTGAACAATAAGGAAATTAACGAATTAAGATAATGAATCTTTGAACTTCTATGGTTTTTAATTAAGAAGCTTCATCTTCCACTTCTGAGCCCAGAGGAGAGGATTAATGGAGCTACGTCTTTGCCCACTAGTCTGTCATAAAAACCTAAAATGCCCTTCCAAAAGGGCACGTTGGAGGAACGCTGTGGAAAGCAGCAGTGATTTGAGTTAAATCAGCTATTGTCAGTCACATATAGATTACACAGTGTCTATATGTATTGGAGAATCTTCTTTGTGTTGCAACGAATTCAGGACAGATCTCCAGGCAATTACCTGCTGTGCAATTAGAAAGCCCAGTCCTCGCTCACATCCATGTCTAGCCAACTCCACTGGATTTGAACTCTCGAATTACACTGGGCGGAACGTGAGCAGCATCATCACCACAAATGAACCATTTAACAGCCGAGGGCAGTGTAAAGGTAATCGAAAGCGGCTGTGGAAACTGAGAAACCCTTTGCAAGCAGTGTGTGATAACACACCGTCACTTATTCAGCTCAGGTGTGATAAAGGCAAAACCAAAGCGTGAGAATAGACAGGATTTTCATAGGAGAAAATAAGTGAGAGGGGTCGGTTTGCAATTTGCCTTTCGTTTTGCTCTTTGAGGTTATTCAGTATAAACGGCGACGAGAGGACACCATCTCGGTCAGCTGAAGTCAGGAAATCCAACATGAATTGAACGAACGGAAAGTCTAGCACCTGTTTTTCTAATCCATAGAAGAAGAGGGATCTGTCAAAGCTGGTTGATCCGCCATCTGGCATGTGTTTCCTGTACTTGTCTCTAACCTTGGGCTGAGTTTTGCTGGCACGTTTCCAGAATCAAATAAGGAGAACTTATGACCAATATTTTCACTTTTACCTGCTCTCTCTGCAAGTCAGGGACTTTTAAACTGTGCATTTTTTAAAAGCCTTTAAAGGTTTCTTTCCTAGCTTAATTTCTGGTCAGTGATAATTACAGCAAAAAACCAGGGAAGGTTTGTTTTGATTTGCTTTGGGTTGTTTTTTTTTTTTTTGAAAGTTGCTGATATTTTTAGATCAGTGGCACAACAGTTTGGCAGTTCCTCTTGACCTTGCTCTGATCAGATTTGGCTTTGAATCTCCTGCTTTTCCCCATTGGCTTCAATGGAAGAAATATGTGTCCAGCTGCGAGCTGGTGGCAAGGAAGGGAGATACTTTCCTGAGGTTGCTGCATGAGCTTGTGTCTGGACTTCTCGTACCTGCTCATCTTTTATGAACTCGCTGACCAGCAAGTTGCTCATAGTCCCAAGGTTCCTCGGCTTCTTTCTGTCTTATGAGTAGCTGAAAGTAGTGTTTGCACGGTGAAGGCAGTGGTCATGATGTCCCAATTTCTTTTGCACAGTGGTCCTTACCTGCATGACAGCTGCCTGGCTTGTCAAGAGAACATTCCCTCGTCTTACAAACTCACACCTCCTCCTCCCCCCATCGCTTTGCTCTTACTTGCAGTGGAGTCAAAAAAGGCCTTATGCAGCTGACAAAAACTCAGCACAAATATTTGAGAAGAACTCCCTTCAGGGTGTTTACTCAGGGCTTGTTGATCAGGGAGGTAATGATGGTTTGAGTCTCCCCATCTCCTCACACGGGTGTTGCAATTCCATGGATGAGAAGACCCGTTTTGCCCCAGTGCAAGCTCGATATTTCATTCAGCAAGATACTCCTTTTGTTTCAGGGCTGGTGTTACGAAACAATACCCTTTAAGATAATCACTGTTGGAAAGGAGAGACTTAATTTACAGTCAATGACTTTGTTGCCTTGGGTAGTTCAAGTAAGGATCTGCCTCTGTCTTGTCTTGATTGACAAGACCCTTTCTATAAATTTGCACAATTAAGGAGCCCACTAGCAGCTGCTTGGGAGATCTCCGGAGCACAAAGCCGACAAGGAGTGCTGTGCAGGTCTCCTGCTGCTCACTCTGACATCCTGAAGCAGTTTAAAACTGAGAAAGGAGATCGGACTCCCAACAAGTCAGGTGAGTGCCCTTCTGTGTTGACCCCATGCCATGGCTCCGGCTCATGAATAAAGCAGCAGCTTTTGCTAAAATGGCAAAGAGTAAAATGTTCCACTTCTTCTTCTGAAGTTTCTCTCTTTTGCTCTCAAATATCTGCTTTTAAAAATATGGAATTTTAGGGCTTTTTTTTTTTTCTCTCTGTTGAAGCTTATATAGAAGCATACATGTAATCAGTATTTAATCCCACGTAAGGCTATAATGTATGCACGGCCAGGTCTATGAAGGCAAACTGTGGCAAAGCTCATGCGCTGATCTAAAACTTTGTTTTAGCAAATTTCAATCTTTTGGTTTAACAGGAACCTAGAGACTCAAACATCAAAAGGCAGGCCAAGCTCGTTTAACTTAAGTCTGTCCAGCTGAGGACACAACAGGCCAACGCGCACAAGTCCGTGTGCCCCATGGAGTAGCTGACGTTCTCAAAGTTCCATGTCAAGCCTGGGCTTCTGAGGTTGGCATTTTTAAGTGCATTGCAAGTATGTGAGGTATAAAATAGATCTTAGAGTTACTCTCCAACTCCCTTTTTTTTTTTTTTTTTTTGACAAAGTTTTCCAGAGAGGCTGGCTGCTTTCTTCACTGAGGAGTGGAGAAAGGTTTGATATAGAAAGGCAGCAAGTGTCAAAGGGACTTGGTCAATGTTGGGCTGCTCAGAAAACGTGAGTTCAAGCCTCTTCTGGTCACCTTGGCCATGTTGACCCCATCTAACCAGCTCTGTTCACCAGCTTAGCAGCCTTGGTTATGTCTGAGCTGGCTGGTGGGGCAGTGTGTGCAGGAGGGACAACTAACAGTTGCATTGGCCTCTGTGGCTGCAGCCCCAGGACTGGACCAGCACAAGACCAGTGGTCAGGGTATTGGTAATGGCAACTCCAATAACATTATGAGGAGGTGCTGACCTCTCCAGAGATTATAGCACAAAATGAGGGAGGCTTGGCTCCTAACTTGGGCTAATGGTGAGTGTCCAGAATTAGGTCTTCTTGTTGAAATGCTGGTGTTACCTGCAGACCTAACCCTGATGAATGCATGGAGCTGCAGCTGTGCTGCTTGTCTCCCCGTGCAGCAAAATAGGGAAGCTGCCACCTCCCACAGGTGTGGATGGCACCCAGACAGACAGACAGAGCCCTTCCAGACTAACCCTGCCAGGGCCACGGTCTTCAGCCAACAACATCTATGTGCACTGAGAGGGCAACCAAAGGCATACCCAACCATTGGTTGACACAAGCTCAGGGAAAGCATTTGCTGCAAAGTAAACTTGCAATATGGAAATTTTGGTGGATCTGAGGCACTAGCAGGTGGCTTTGTGTCTCCCAGGAAAACTCCACTGCTCTGCGGGGAGAAGTCTGCTTTCCGTTAGACCTTTTCACTAAGACTTTCCCTTTCTGGGAATCATAAAATGGTTAGAGCTGGAAGGGACCTTAAAGATCAACTGGTTCCAACCCCCCTGCCATGGGCAGGGACACCTCCCACCAGACCAGGTTGCTCCAAGCCCCATCCAGCCTGGTCTTGAACCCCTCCAGGGATGGGGCAGCCACAGCTTCTCTGGGCAACCTGTTCCAGTGCCTCACCCTCACAGCAAAGAATTTCTTTCTGGTATCTAATCTAAATCTCCCCTCTTCCAATTTAAAACTGTTCCTCCTTGTCCTGTCACTGCACTTCCTGACAAAGAGTCCCTCCCCAGCTCTCCTGGAGCTCCCTTCAGATATTGGAAGGTTGCTCTAAGGTCTCCCCAGAGCCTTCTCTTCTCCAGGCTGAACAGCCCCAGCTCTCTCAGCCTGTCCTCACAGCAGAGGTGCTCCAGCCCTCTGAGCATCTTCGTGGCCCTTTGCTGGACCCTTTCCAACAGGTCCATGTCCTTCCTGTGCTGAGCACTCCAAAGCTGGACACAGTGCTCCAGGTGGGGTCTCACAAGTGCAGGTGACCCCTCATTGGTACATCTGCCTGCTTTCTCTGTGGCTGAATGAGGATGGGGAACAGTGTGTCTGAGGGGAAGAAAGGGCAATTCTTGCCTCCTGGACTGTGCTAGCTCTCCCACCCCTCCGCTTCTCTCCCTTCTGCCTCAGCATGAAGCTCCGCTGTGTGATCCTGGGTGCTCTGCTTCTTCTGCCGCCGGCCGGCTGCAGCAACGCACTCAAGGCCCCCGCCATCGACCTGCGCACCTTTGTGGGCTGTGCTGTGCGTGAGTTCACCTTCCTGGCCAAGAAACCCGGCTGCAGGGGGCTGCGGGTGACAACGGACGCCTGCTGGGGACGCTGCCAGACCTGGGAGGTGAGGCTGTGCCCTGGGCTGGGGGTGGTTGGCTGGCACCAACATAGAATCATACAATGGTTAGAGTTGGAAAGGATCTTAAAGATCATCTAGTTCCAACCCCCCTGCCCTGGGCAGGGACACCTCCCACCAGACCAGGTTGCTCCAAGCCCCATCCAGCCTGGTCTTGAACCCCTCCAGGGATGGGGCATCCACAGCGTCCCTGGGCAACCTGTGCCAGTGCCTCACCACCCTGGTGGTGCTTCCCGAAGCATCCTGAGTGGTGCTTCCCCCACAAAGAAAAGCCCTCGATAGAAACCTGCTACACATCAAACAATGGCTTGGAGCTATCTCCACAAACAGGCAAGGGCTGTGTCCCACTCCACGACCTTCTGGCCACCACTGTTCGTGGCAGAGGACTTTGCTGTAGGTTGTTCCCTCCCTCCGTTCCGCTGCCTCGAAGCGGGGTGTGCGTCAAGTGATGATATTAATTAATCACTTATGCAATACTGTTATTATGCAACTTGAAAGCCTCTTACAGCTTAACCACTGTAGCAGGAGAAGAGGCCTTTATTGCTTTACTGGAAAAAAAATCCTTTGAGATTAAGATGGAGCTCCCAATTGGTGGGTAATATATTTTGTTCCAAAAAGCAAATCCCAAAGATAATGCTGTTTCTAATTTGGTCCTGTTTTGAGTCACATTCCATGGTGGCCATGGCCCAAGCAGGAGCTGGGGCAGGGGGAGAAGAGGGGGAAAAAACAGGGAGAGCACCCATGGTGGACAAATGGGATGGAGAAATCCCCCATGGTGGACATTCACTGGGGTTTGTGGGATGTGCAGCCTGACCAGGAAGACCCATCTGGCTGGGAATAAACCATCCGTCAGTCACCGGGCAGCACCTCTGCTCTTAGGCAGCTCTTGCAGATGGAAGGGTTTCCAGCAGAACACATTTTCTTTGAGGGGAAAAATCAAACCTTTTGGAAGAAAGCAGCTGCTTTTTGGCAAACGCGCATTTGGTCAAAACACTAATATTCTGCTGAAAGCCAGCTTTTTGGAGAGGCTTTTGTCTTCCTGCAGGCAGCTTTATGGAGCTTTATGCTTTAGACAAACAGAAACACGCACATGCACCCACTCCCCTCCATGGCAGGGCTCCAAGATGCAGGTGTTGAAGGATGTAACCTAAAACGTATTTCCATCCATGGCCCCTTCGGCCTTATCCAGAGGCTCCCCTATTTACGCTAAATTCCTTTGAGGAAACTGTGGACTCCAGATGTTTGTCTTAGAGTCACACAATCGTCCAGGTTGGTATGGACCTTTAAGATCATCTAGTCCAACCATCAACCTAACTCTAATAAAGAAAACCATACAAAAGAACCCCCCCCATCACTAAACCATGTCTCTAAGCACTATGTCAACCCATCTTTTGAGCACCTCCAGGGATGGTGCCTCAACCACTTCCCTGGGCAGCCCATTCCAAGGCATAATTAAATTTTTTTCCTAATATCCAATCTGAACCGCCCCTGGTACCACTTGAGCCTTCTTGCCTGAGGCCAGCATTTCTCCCCTACAGAAGCCGGTGCTGGAACCACCTTACATTGAATCTTACCACCGTGTTTGTACCTACAACGAGACCAAGATGATGACAGTGAAGCTGCCCAGGTGTGCCCCCAACGTGGATCCCTCCTACACCTACCCGGTGGCCATCCGCTGCGACTGTGACATCTGCTCCACTGCCACCACCGAATGTGAGACTGCCTGAGCTCTCCTTTCCCAGGTCAGCAAGGAAGAGCCCCTGGTACCACTTGAGCCTTCTTGCCTGAGGCCAGCATTTCTCCCCTACAGAAGCCGGTGCTGGAACCACCTTACATTGAATCTTACCACCGTGTTTGTACCTACAACGAGACCAAGATGATGACAGTGAAGCTGCCCAGGTGTGCCCCCAACGTGGATCCCTCCTACACCTACCCGGTGGCCATCCGCTGCGACTGTGACATCTGCTCCACTGCCACCACCGAATGTGAGACTGCCTGAGCTCTCCTTTCCCAGGTCACCAAATTCTTCCCTGGCTTCACACCCCTCAGGCATGACAGAGGGTGTAAGTCAGTCCAGAATTTGATCTCACCCCGTAATGCTCCTAATCATTGACTTTTTTGGGCAGACAAGGCTTAATCCCCTCTCCTCGTGCTGTTCAAAGCGTTATTGCTGTAGAAATGTCACACACAGCCTTACAATAGCAAATCCCATGGGGGAAAAAGATATATATCTATATCTATATACACACAGTTTTCCTTCCTTACAGGCTTTTCACACTGTGTGACCTTTCTTCACATCCAAAGTGCAAGGAACTAAACAGCGGGGGGGTTGAAAACTGGCCACAAAGGCATTGCACCCCGTGTGACAGCCTCTATTCCTGTCTGGTTTTAGCTCCTTCCTGGCAATGTAAAGGCGATTGCCAACGTTTCCACCACCTCGCCCCTGCCCTTGGTTCTTCTTGCCCTGAGCTCTGCCAGGAATTACGGCCAAAGAAAAAGCCTTAAGGCCAATGAAATGGAAATAGGCATCCAGGTCGTCACCTTGGAATTAGGGCGAAGGCATACTCAGCCCTGACCCAGCAAAGTACTCAAGCTCATGATTAAGTGTTTTGCTTAATATCGGTGGAACTTTCACAGCTAAGTACGTATTTCAGTGATTTGCTTAATTGGAGCCAATTGAAAAAAAGTCTTGCTCTGCAAAAGACAATTCCTTGAAAAAAGGGAGAAACCCGTTCAATCCGTAAACCCAAAATTGCATGTTTTCCCATCTGCTTTTCTCCAGGGATAAAGGGGAGTGTGTGTGTGTGTGTGGAATTGACTTCATATAAAACCAGAGAGACTCTGCAGAGCCCAAGGAGTCCCTCCTGACAATTCCCAGAGTTAGAGGGCCCAAGCCAAAACGTGATGATCGTGGTCTGGTTCCAGGGAGCCCCTGGCTGAGGTGGTGGGAAACAGAGGACTTACAAAGGGTGTTCCCACTCTTCCCTGCACTGCTCAGCTCCACGGAGACCTGCTCCTCCAGGGATGTGCACAGAGCTTGATGTGCTCACAGGAAAGCTGTGGAGTGGCCAAGTCGACATAGTCGATGTGGGTGAGACAAGCCCAGCACAGAAATGAGAGAAGACATTCTAAAGAGTGGTTCTCACCTCCTCAGATGCACTATTTACAAACTAGGGGACACCTGGGCACTGCAGCAACAGCCCCCTGGTGACCACAGCCACCTAAGTGCCTTTGTCCTCTAGTTCCCACCTGGAGGACAGTTGCGTGTTTGTATCCCATTCCTACCCTGAAAAAAATGGGAAATTATGTGAAAACAGGAAGATTTGCCAAGTGAGAGAGGCTCGCAGGAGCTTACACAACAAAGGCACCTTCTCGGGTAGCCATGAGGAGAGGATTGCTGCTGAGAGTGATACCAGCACTTGCCTTCCCCTCGTTAAGTGCCTTGTCTTCTGGGTGCAGTCGCCTTCATTTCCAAGGCTGTGTGCTTGAACCTTCCCCAAGTGTCCTGTCCTCACTGAGACACAGCTTTAATTCAAAGCGTAGTTTATTAGTTGCTGTCACTTTTTTTGGTTTTGTGTTTTTTTTTTTTGCCAGTGGAATTGTGAAAGCTGCACTGTGGTTGAATAGGAAGGAGGCAATTTCATCACTCTGCCCTCTGTAATTCTGAATAGATCCTGCTGTGTCAAGCAGCAGAAGGAGCAGTTTGCCGCTGCTGCTGAGGTTAGCTCCCTTTAAAAGAGTCCTTGTGGTCTTTTTTTTCTTCTTGTTTTTTTTTTTTTTTTCAGATTACATCTCACAGTTCCATCTGTTCTTGTTGTTATTCTACCTGGCATCACAACTATTATGGGAAACCTGCAAATTATCTTTTGTCCTTAATAAACCTCAACATTGCAGTGTGAAAGCGATTTAAAGCAACGCGTCCCTCTTTATTTCTGCACAGAGGTTTCTTGCGTAGAATACATGCGAGTTCCTACAAACTCCTTCCTAGAGCTGTGAACACTTGCAAAATATCTCCTCGATCCTGGTGTGAAATCACTTCCTTGGTTGGATTTCTCTCACCGAGTCTGGCTCTGCTCTCACCTCGGGCTTAGAAGTAGGGTTAGAAAGCAGGAAACTTCCTTCCTTTGCAGCCAACAGGAAATATGGGCTGTACCCAGACGTGGTGGGACAGTAGAAACCTCAGCAAGTGTTGAGAAGGAAACACTGCTGGGAATGAAGGAGGGATTTGACTGATGCAGTAGCAGCCAGACCAGCAGGCAGAAGAGGGAGGGTGGGAAGATGCATTGAGTGAAACCAAGCTAACACGTCTAGATGCTCTTTTAAGGAGGAGGGCCAAAGTGGAATGGAGATGCTGTGGATGACAAAAGTACAGCCAACGCCTGAGCCCACCAACCCACTTGGCTGGTGCCCATCCCTCTTTGTCTGTCTCTGCTGGATTCCCACAGGTGGGCACGCCACAGTGAATTTCAAGGACTCAACTTCATTCCTGCTTCTGGTAATTGCAAATCTGGGTCTTTTTTCCCCAAAGTTCTCACACTAGTAGGTCTTTATTCTGTTGAATTCCCACCAATTTTGATACTTCCAACCAGGTGTTTTGGCTTTCGCATCCCTTTATGCTTCAGCTGGGATGGTATGTCTTGCTCCAAATCTTCAGGCAGTCAAAACTGCCCACATATTTCAGAGCATGAGAAGCCCCGTCCCAGGTGATCTTCACCTCCTTGAGGGCATTTTAATGCTCCTTGAAGCCACAGATTTAAATCTCACCATCCCACCTGTCCAAAGCAGTTAAACAGCCCTTCTGCCTTTGGTGCTCAAGCTTGCAAGGAGTGTTTGCCACTGAGGCTGTCGCATCTCCCATGAAAACCCCTACTGCTTTTTTGTAGCGCACCGGTTGTCCCCTTTACCTGGACACTGACCACCAGAACCAGACAAAAATACTCACAGACTGCAATAGGGACCTGTTAAATGTGTCATTTGCCACTGCACATTCAATCTGGTACGACATTTGCTACCTTAAAAAACAAGGGAAAGACATTTTACTCTACATGTATAAGATGGTTGCATCTGCCTGCTCAGAGAGGAGAAGGTGGAAATATGGAGAAGGCATGATTATACAATTTGGGGACTATACTTGGCTCTTGGCTCTGCCATAACCATGTCAGGTGAGTAGAGGCAAATCAGTGGATTTCTTTGTGCCTTGATTTCCCTTCTGGACCCTGGGAGTGATGATGCAGTTGATTTTTGTCTTCCTGATGTGTTGTGGAGTGTACAGGCTGCAAGGTTCCTTGTGATGAGTCCTATCTGTATCCTGCACAGCACTCCATTTCTCAGGTTCGTTGTAGCTCTTTTAACCTGAACAGCAGTAGCAACAGCCCTGCAGTGCTTTGATTTTTTGACAATACTTTCCTGTTATATGGCGGCTGGAAAAGTTATATGACTGAGTCTTGAAGCTCAGCTTCCCTTGCTCCTGTGCTGTAGTTGGCGTGCCCCTACTTGTGTCAGAAATCAGTATATTTTACCCCCAAAAGCCCTTTGCAAGCTGTGGGAACATGAAAAGAGCCTTTCTCTGGCAAAACGTGCATTAACTCAATCAGTATTAGGGACATTGTTCAGGAATGGTGGGATTCGTGATCTTAATTTGAAGACCAGACTAACTGGTCAATGGGATTGCTTCTGGTCTTGCAATCAATGGAATTGAAATGCTGGGTAGAAAAAGTAGTATTGTTTTTTTGGTTTTTTTTTTAAAGAAGATGCACATCTCTTCATTGAATCCCTGCAATACTGGAGCCAGTCATATTCTTGATTCCAGTCCAGCATTTAAGGGCTGTCTTTCCTCAAGTAACTTCTTCAGTCCTTATAAGCACTTGACTTTCTCTGCTGCCTCCCCCTGCCCTGTCTGCTGGGCTGAAGGTTACACAGCTCATCATATTCCTTGCCATCAGTAAGGGTTTGTTGGAGGGGTTTGTTATCCATGTGTTAGGGTTGTCATGGAATAACAAACTCCCCTCAAAACTCCTAGTGGTAGAAGTTGATGCTTTTCCTAGTTGCTCTACCAAGAGAGCTCCAGTGCTTCCTAGGCTGCTGCACGCTGGCTTCTCTCCAAAACACTTTAAATATTCACTCAAGGGAGAAAAAAAATCATTTAATGGTGCCATGATATCACAGTGGAGACCACAGACAGTAAGAACCCCTTGGTAAAATAATAAAAAGTGTTTATATCTGAAAGAGCAACAAACCAACCACCTTAATATTGGTGGAAGATGGGAGAGTAAGTATCTCCAGACCAGTAACTGAGGGATACCCTGTGACCAGAGTGAGCTGAAGGCTGCATGCCAGAGGGGAGCCAGATCTGTGGGTCCCATGTCTCCACCTTCCCATGTTTCCAGGCTGCAGGGAATTTGGTTAAGCAGCAGTTTCCCAAGAGGAACGTGCCCAAGATGAGCAAACCTCTGCAGCGGCACCTCCTGTGCGACTTCCTGCTGGGGGCACTTGGAAAGTGCAGGCAATTCCAGGACCATCTAAAAGCAGCCCTAAGTGTTAGTTAGTATGTGTTTTTCCTACCTGATAACGTCCTGCAAAGTATGTGTGATTAGCATCTGGGAAAATAAACAGAGCACCACACCTTCTCAAAACGATGCTGTCAAAATACTTAGCAATACATTTATTTTGTTAAAATAAACTATGTACAATAGACAATATTAATGTGCAGTTACAATATACAATAATT